GGGGGGGGGGGGGGGGAAGATTGATTTAATCAATTATTTGAGGTTTCTGAGGTGCGTCCACCCCGTCACTTAACTTGCTAAAGCAAGAGCAACTCCAGCTAGCTAAGGCTAGCTTTCGTGAAAACATCACCTAACAACCTTACTCACGCCGATAAACTCAATGCTGTAACACCTGCTCGACACATATCGACACATCGCACGTGCACCAGTTGGTTTTACATCCGCCGGGCTGAGGGAAGCTATGCCGAACCAAAGCAAATAATACTTGGACATGTCCATCGGCTGCTCCCAGTTACTCTGCCAGTACTGATCCAACAGCCCTCAGTGCTCACGCCTTCAACCGCTCCATCCGAAATTTGTACCTTGGGGTCGTCGGATCACACAGAGAATCGTGGATCCCTCGCAGTTGATATGAATGAATTGCTGGATGCATGGATGCGTAAAGCATTCTGTAGCTGTTCATCGAAGGACACAGTCCAAGTAGCATACATACCCTTCCGGGGCCAAGAAACAGGTCCCTGCTTCAGAAAAATGCATATGTCCAAGTAGCACGTGTGTGAACATTGGTCTGGTCTTCTTCTGGATATCTTTGATTTCTTCGCGCATCAACCTGCACTGCCTTGGCTTCACAGGGTAGGCGACGTAGGTTAGCTGGTGGGCAAAAGCCTATGGCATTCAAACTCAACTTGACGTATGCACAATCTCAGCAAAACAGGTTGAGAGGTTCAAACAAGACGAGGCAATTGCTGGCCAATGATAGCTCATTACGATTCACGAAAGTCGACTCTCCAAGATCATCTTTGAGGCTTGGCCAGTATTGCACCGTGAACATTTGGTCACCACCACCGCCACCACCAACACCCACCACTCAACTTCAAAGGCCCAGAACGAAAGATTCCGAGGAGTCAGCAGCCAGTGTGAGTGTGTGTGTGTGTGTCAAACCCCGTTTCCAGGGGCGCTGCTCTCTACTATTTCTCCTTCCTTTCATTGTCAATGTACAGTTTGCAACAGCAGGGGGCCCATGGGCACATGGATGGCATGGGCCAACGAAGACCCATTCATGTTGCCGTGAAAAAACGTACCTGCACAAATTTTTAACATATTCTAAAGAACTAATGCGTTTGTTCAAACATTCAGTTGCGCTGACCTTTCATTCCTGCGGTTTTGCAAGTCAAGTGCTAAGTATTCATTTAAAGGGCTAATGCTCACCGCGAATTGCCTGAAGACAAGCTCCACGGAGCAACCTTCTCAAGTGTGTTTCGCAGCTTCTTCCCACCGTGGTAAGCTGTGTGATCCCTACGGGGCGCTGTTACCGAGAGAACCTTCTCACTCCTCACCGTGAGAGTAATTTCTCTGAAGTTTTCTGAAATCCATTCGACTGAATTTTCCTGCTCGAAATCAGCTTGTTCGGAGTGTCTCACCTTGCACGCGTGAATTTTACTGCAGAGTTCACTGAAATTCTTACTGAAGTATACTGCAGAGTTCAACTGAATCAAGTCTCACCCAGAAGCCATCACTTTCAATTTAAAATATTTTCCTTTCAACTTTTCAATTTTTCAAGATTTTCATGTTGATTAGAGTCTGTGTCTTGCTCACTCCTCCACTTTGCAGTCATACATACCAGATGTTCGAGATCTACACTGTCGTACATATTTGTTTACACCACTTTGATTCGATTTGCAGAGCCGAGACTTTCAGTACAGTGGCTGAACTACAATTTTTACAGTCGATGATTCCCTTTGCATTCAATTGCCTACAATCAAGATGCCACACCTTACAACAATACACCTACCCTCCAGACATTGCTCACACTACAGCACAGCCAGTATCAGCGTTGCCCAGCACTGTTACCAGAGAACGGCGGACAAGTCACACCCTCAGAAGCCCAGTTTTCCGCAAGCAACACAGCTA